CGTACATAAATGGTAGAGAAGAAAAAGTAGAAACAAAAACACACTTCTCTTATTTCTTCTGTTTGTCCACTTAATTACCTTTACCTGGTGCTTTTTTGTAGGTTTGAGTCGTCAGGGTTCAGACTGAAAGGTTGTGAGGGTTCCCTGCCAGGCAGGTCCTGCTCTGAGGGAAGGCTCTTCAGCTGTGCTTATCTGAGGAATGCTCAGTTCCTTTATAAAAAGCTCTACAGTCGCTGAATTCGCGCCACTACAGAGACCTATAGACTCACCAGTAAAACAGGATGAATATTAAAAGCTGCAGAAGCAGAGGCGTGAGAAGCATGGTGCTCCTCCCAGGTCTGCAGAGGTCTGGACGCGCCCGTCCCCACGGCCCCGGTGGAGGCCTGACTCCTGCAGCAGGGCGAGCAGGGGCTTGTGCGGTGTTGTGGCAGGAAGCAGCTTGCGGGTGTGGCTGCAAGCAGGGAGACGCTGGGACCTGGCCCTTAGCGCCCCCTGGCAGCCATTCAGTCTCAGCCTGCTCAGGAACAGAGCCACGTGGCCCTCAACTGAAACCTTGCGCTGCTGGCTGCTCGCTGCTCACTGCTCGCTGCTCTCCTTAGGTTTTTGTCACAGTGACAAAAAGCTGACAGTCACCTGACCTTGTGGTGCTACCCTGGCAACTGAAGGCAGGATCTAGTTTAATCCTGAGACGTTTCAGGCAGCACCCTTCAGCCTCGAACTCAGACAGGGCTAGGGGAAGCCCACCCAGGGTGCATGCGGTGAGGTGGAGGGTCCCCGACCAAGCAGCCAGCAGGCTGGAGGTCCCAGGTGTCTTTCTGTCTGGCCCAGTCCTTGCGGAGCGGTGTCTGCTGCCTGCACTGGGGAGAGAATTGCTAGAGCCCTTCCCGGACCACACTGCGGGCAACGCTGTAGCCCTTTATAAGCGCACACACACACACGATGGAAAGTAGGTAGGCAGAAGGAAGCACTTCGTCTCCCGCAGCCTGCAATGAGGAAGGGTTTGTTTGCTTGTTCGTTTGTCTAACTCGGCAGTCCCAGGGTCCTGCCACCAGGACTCCCTGGGCACAACTTGCCCAGTGAGCTCAGCAACCCACCCAGCACACCCCTGCAGCCGCAGCCTCCTTGCCAAGTTATCAAGTGGTGACAAGAGGACCAACCAGCCAGCTTCCATGGGACTCGATCTTGCAGAAGGGAGCGCACCCTGCACAAAATTTTTGAAGGCAGTTCTGGGGGTCACAACCACATGTTAAAAATATCTGTACAGTCAGGGAGATAGCTGAGTAGAACAAGCACTTCCTTGGCAAGTGCAAGGTCCTGAGTTCAATCCCCAGTACCGCAAAACAAAAACAAACAAAAATTGTACTGATTTTCTCTAAATTCAAACATCAAGAACATATGTGATATACAAAGTGAGGATTTCCAACTTCCTACAGGGGTCAGCACACTTGATGTTTTGTTTTGTTTTGTTTTGTTTTGTTTTGTTTTGTTTTGTTTTGTTTGGCAGAACCCAGGATTGAACTCAGGCCCTTGCGCTTGCCAGGCAAGCGCTTATTCTACTGAGCCATCTCCCAGGCCCCATACTTGATATTTTGGCTAGATGAATCCTATCAGGTTTTTTCCTTAAACAGTTACATGTGTGATTTATAAAAATGAACACATTTTACACAACATACAACGTGTGACCAAAAATATGGTGAATGCTTAAATTTTTTAAAATTATAAAACTAGATCTGAGGGCCAGGGAGATGGCTCAATAGAATAAACACTTCCCTGGCAAGCACAAGGGCCTGAATTCAATCTCTGGTTCCGCCTAAATAATAACAACAATAATAATAATAGTAAT